CCCTTCTATAAGCATCCAAAAACCTCTGATAGCGCTTCCTTTCGGGACGTGGTTTCGCCCGTGCACGTCTACGCCAATGCGCGTATTCGCGCCCTTCTTTGCCATCAATTATTGCCCGTCCCGGGATCATCTTCTCGTACGCTCTTGCGCATGTTACCACTTGCACGTTCGTCTTCTCACGGCCATGCCATGTGCGCGTTGTCCTCCCAATATCCGCCCCTCGCGCACCGATCGTCTCCCTCGCAAAGTAAACGTCTGAGACCTTAGCCTCCAAGCATCGTGCGCGTCACTTCTTGGCACACACCTTGCGCCATTCGACCACGCCGCTCAAGCCTTCAAGCCTCAAACTCTCGAGCTTCTTGCTCGACCTCCTATGCCATTGTGCATGTTGGCACCCTCGTATACGTGCTCGTGCACGTCTTCTAGGCCATGCAAGCGTTGTTTGCACCCTTTGCTCGACCTTGTCCATTAACCTCGGCCCTCGGCCCTTCATATCATCGAGGGTCAATTCCCACTTCCGTATCAACGTTACTAGACGCATGCTGCGCTGTGGTGTACGCGGATGGACTAGGTGTTCGCTGCCGTGCGGTTGGACGTGCTCTGCGCACGCCTACGCGCATGACTGCAGCAGCGCGAGGCTTGGCTGCGGGGTACTGGCTACGCGTGCGCACTGCTGGGCGCGCAGACGCTGCCAGCGTACCCGCTGGGACTGCCGGGCGTGCCGCACGCGTACGCTGTGTGCGGTAGGCATCACGGTCGGCCTTTCGCCGGCCGTCCGGCTACTTTTTTCGGCAACCCACATATGACTGAGTATAATTTGACTTGACTTGACTAAATATGCGTAGATTGTTCGGGACTTGCCGGTTAGATTTTGAAATCACTCGGAGAGGGCTTATATAGCACCTCCGAGGCCATTTTCGTTAAAAACATGGACCGAATGACATGATATCGATACGATCTTGCTAACATGAACTTAAATACATGAAAATAGTGTAAATAGATGTATACCCTTCAGTTTGGCTGAGAAACTCACGATGACTTGCGCGGGTGTTTGGTGCTCTCGATGGTGTGCGAGTGCTTCTCCTTTGCTACGGCCTTCCTTAACTAATTTTTGTACGATTTTTCTTCAATATTTCTTCACTATTTTCCCTCTGTTAGTACGCTGAAGCTGGCTTCATTTGGTGCATGAAAATGCATAGGGAAAATGTGTGTGCTCGGATATTTAAAGTGGGTAAAAATCGTTGGGTAATTTGGGTCAAAGAGGTGAAAGATGATATTGTTTCCCTTGCTGCCACATCTCTAGGTTGTGGCTGAGGTGTTGGGCATTTAGCTTAGTCACTGGTCGATGTGGCGTGCATGCACGGGCTTAGTCATCGCCCGTGCGTCTGTGTGGTGCCATGTGTGCAAGCTAGTAGGTGACTCATGGCTACCACTTGCATCCAAACTCATCCCTTTGAAATTTCCTCACGGCATTTACTTAGGAGTTGGGACAACATTACTTAACTTGATCATAGTGCTAAGCATTGCATAAGTGTGCGCTTAAGGGACTTAACCGTGCGCGTGCACGGGCTGCGGGTGCGCATGCACGATTGCGCGCGCTACGCGCACGACCATGCACCGCATGCGTGCGTGCATAGAGTGTACCTCCAAACTTAGACATGAATTCGATCTCAATGTTAAATCCGAACATGCTTAACTTTTAATAATTATGTTATCATCCGACTCGGCAAGACGCTGTTAAGAGGTTTTGAGCATCCTATTAAACGCGATTAACAGTTAAAACCGACATGAATCATAACCGCGCCGATCTACACCAAAGAACCGGTCTGAACCACCAAAGACCGAAGTGATCGCGATTACCGAGGTCAACATCCACCGAGGAAGACATGAACCGAGGTCGTCACCTCCTTAAGCAGGTGACAAGGCATCTACGAGAGGCTCTCCTACTCCACAAGATCTGTCATCATTTACGTGGGGCCCCCTGCCTCGAACCGCCCATAAAAAGCCACTTTATTCAAAAAAGTAGTACACGGATCCCAATGTCTCAACCCAAAACTACTATAAATAGCGGACCTGTAACAATTGTAGGGGCGGGCTCAGTTTTTCTAAACATTACCGAACTGTAAACCCTTTACTACTTAACACGAAAAAGCCCATCACGGCTCTTCACCTCGGTTCACCTCGGACCGGGGCCATTGTTGATTCAACCTTACATGCTTTACGATCAAATCATCCTAAATTACTCACTTAATCACATATTACATCGTTGTTAAGAATTACATAACGACAAATTAATCCTGATTAATAATGTCTGTTTATAAAATAAACGGTTCAAAAATTAATTATCGAATTTGACTCGGTTAATAATTAACCGAATAAACTTTTTGACTTAAAGTCGAACTTATTCACTTAAACGCTGAAAATGGACGAGATTAATAAAAGAAAATACATCATTTCCATTAACAAGAAATTGGGTTATTACAATCTACCCCCCTTAAAATATTTCCGTCCTCGGAAATATAAAACTGAACATATATACATGAAAAGACATATACATCAGAACTGAAAATCAGGAAAACGAGCGCGAATGTCAGCCTCCTGCTCCCAAGTGGCTCCGTGGCGATCCCACTGAATACGAACGAGGAGAACATCACGCTTTCGAAGCCGTCGAACCTGCCTGTGCAACACAGCTATCGGACACTCCTCGTAAGATAAATCTGGATGGATCTGAATATCAGTATGAGGAATGACATGATCGGGGTCGCACACGTACTTGCGTAACATGGATACATGAAAGACATTATGAACACCGGATAACTCGGGAGGTAAGGCTAAACGATACGCAACGTCGTCCACTCGCTCGAGTACTTCGAACGGGCCAATGAACCGAGGGTGTAACTTCCCTCTCTTCCCGAATCGAACGACTCCGCGAAATGGACTAACTCTAAGAAAAGTGTGGTCGCCAACCTCGAATTAGATATCTTGTCGATGATGATCGGTGGTTGATTTCATTCTACTCTGAGTTGTTCTGAGTCTCTGCCGGATCAACTCAACTTGTTCTGCTGTCTCCTCGATCAATTTCGGACCGAGTACTCGACGCTCACCGACGTCGTCCCAATAAAGAGGGGAACAACATTTACGACCATATAGTGCCTCATAAGGAGCCATCTGAATAGAAGAATGATAACTGTTGTTGTACGCAAACTCAACGTACGGCAATAACGACTCCCATTTAGCATCCCTGTCAACAACCAAAGCTCGCAACATATCCTCTAATGTCTGTATAGTCCGCTCTGTCCGTCCATAAGTATCTGGATGGGGTAAACTTTGCCAGAATCTACTAGTGAATTTGGGATCTCTGTCTGACACGATAGTAACAGGCACTCCGTAGAGTCGAACGATCCCACGGACATAAATCTCAGCCAACCTGTCCAAAGACATACTCATCGATACTGGCAAGTGTTAGAGGTATGCTGTAAAAGCTGTGTTTTGCAGTTTCTATCAATTCCATTTTGATCTGGCAATCATGTTTCGGTCAAAGTACATATGTTTGCAGTTTATTTATT